ATAATTTATAATATATCCCCAATTTTCTATCTGGGTCTGACTAACATGCAGCCTCCTCCACAGCAAGCACACATCTCCAGTACATTTCCAATTAAAACCAAATCAAAATTACTTAAGGTTTGCTTCAATTTCATTTTAAATATTTCTTTTAAAGATAATTGTAAATGACCTACCCAAAATAAAATCATAACCAGAGCAGTGCTCATAAAATGAGAAAAATCAGACATAGTGACTGTAGGACTATTACAATAGCAATTAAACTCTGTAAAATTTGAAGAAAACGTAAATGTGCAGATGATAAGATCCAACTGGGTAAGTGAACTGGGGTCTTCACATTCACTTGCAGACACCTTCCAGCTCGTATTTGTGGAGAAGCACACCCTTCCTAGCTTCAGGAAGATCAGAAATTGCCAGGACATTGTTTTTGCCGCAAGGAGACCATGATAAGAACAGAAGGGCAGCCAAAGCAGCAGGCTCAGCCTGTGGCACAACACAGCCCTCCGATTACAGAGAGAAGCCCTGTTCCCCAGGCTGTGTGCTGTGCAGGGGTGCACCAGAGCTAAGCCCCTGCTTCTGTCAACACCTGCAGTGACCTTTGAGGCCAGTGAAAAATGTGGTTTGCACTGAAGGTCTACGGGGCAGTTGGGTGCTGCATTAGCAGTGTGCTAACAAGACAAACCAAAGTGGGGAGCGCCAGCGGCCAACTCCAGCTTGGCAATCTGTAAGAGCCGAGGGAATGTGCTGAGGCAAGAGACCCCTGTGCTGCTGGGTGGTCTATCCTGGCCAACCACTTAGAGCTGCATCACAGGCTTCCCACCCAAACTAATACTGCTTTGATTTTGCTCCCTCCATTTCTTTTATTAAGGAAAAGAGACCAAGATCTCACCTAGGAGCGATGTGAGCAGCCCCAGCAGCGTGTCGGTATCTTCTCCAAAGCATGAAGCCGCACTGGTGATGTCTTCGCTGTAGTTCCACAGGGTTTTGCAGATCAAACAAGCCAGCTGCCAGTCTGCCGGCCCAAAGTCTTGTAAACAGTCAACTAACCTGTAAGCATCAAACAAAAACCGTATTTTGCTCCATGTAGTTTTCTCCCTTCAAAATCCAGGCAGCCTAGAAACGTACGCTCACACCATGAAAATTGCAGGAAAATTATACATTAATAAACTTAAGACACTATTTTCTTCCTTCTTTTCATTTAGTCTAGCTCCCTACAGATGCGAACACACCTTTTGTCTATACATGGGTGCATATGCCCACCGCATCTATCCATTCCCTATAACTTTTTAACCCAATGGACCAACCTCAACCACATAGGTGACAAATGTAACCATCTCAAAGACACTAAATTCCAGCAAATTTCACTACCATCTGTGAATGTCCCAAATCTGTGGCTACCACTAGAGCAGACACTGCAATGCAAGCCGAACCTTAGCAGGCACCAAGAATTCATCCAGAAAAGTTGGTATGAATGCAGAAAAGGCTTCAGTCAGAACGTTCAGCTTATTACACAGCAGAGGATCTGACCAGAAGACAAGTTCAAAGGAATTTGCTATTTCCACAACTCACAGAGTTACCTCCTACCTTCAGTGAGGTCAGACTGTTTTGCAGATCTCACCCCTTTCTTGTATTTCCTCAGCCTGCACTCCCAATGGACACCTCTCAGAAATGTCAGTTTTATTAAGGACCATTAGGCTCTTGACCTTTTTCCCAATCTCACTTCCTTGCAGATACCGAATGCAGGCTCGATCATAAGCAGGACTCTGAAATTAAGCTGTAACTTTTCTGTCAACACCCGTTTATGTGCAGTAGCTATCCAGAGATGCAAACAGCAGCGTTCACAAGTCCTGGGACAGCAGAAGTCAGTGTTTTTCACCTGCTGTCCACAGTGACCTCGCTACTTGTAACCCCTCACTGCTCTTCTCTTCCCTAACCCTATTTTCCCTCACTTCCCTGCTTCATGGTGAGATTTACAACCTGGTGCTGAGTAAAGGGAACACAGGATAATTGTGACATTCAGGTATGGCTGAAAATAGGAGTGACTGAAAAGCAACCAAAAAGAGGTTTGCTTTTTCTCTCCTCTCTGAAGGTAGTCATTGTGGAAGACCGGGAGGCATCTAATGAAAAGCCAAAAGTACTTGCCCTAATTTTTTTGAAGTTTAACTCTCTCATGAGACTAATTCCATGTTTTATTAGAGTCAGTATATATGGGTACAATGACCTCATTTCCAAAAATCCACAGAGCTGGTTTGGCACGGTCAGGATGACCTCCACAGCAATCACTTCCAAATTCTCCAGTTTTATTCCATACTGTTACTGTTTTTTCATCCTTCTTTACAAACTCTCAGAGTACAGAAAATTCTATATTCTATATGATTCTATATTCTACTCAATATTCTCTGTAATACAAATTCTATATAATAGAATTTTCTCACATTTATTAACCAATTTGCCTGTAATTTATTTTTTCAGCTTTATATTTTGTTAGCTAACTAGAATATGGGAAGAAAGGATGAGCAGACCATGCACTGTTTACCTTGTATAAAAAAAAGTAATGATATGATGTATGAACAGGAAAGCATTTCAAAGCTAGGCATACTGCTTAATAAACGTGGGCTATGTCAACTGCTTTACAAGCACAGGAACATGATCTTTCATGTTGCTCCAATTAAGCTAGATCCACTATTATCTGAACATCAAAGCCACAAGCATTGCATCCACAGTGGTTTTTCAAGATCTAATACCACTTACAGTACAAGTGCCTTAAACCTGAACTCTTGGAGAGAGGATCTCGGGAGTTATTTATTCTCTGCTGAGCACAGCTACACCAGTACGACATAGTTACAAAAACTGCAAGAGCCCATGTGGGGTGTCATAGTTCCTGAAGCAGTCTTCATGCTTACAAGAGATGCACATTAATGGTGCCTAGTAACTGTAGCCGACACAGGATCCAGTTAAGTCAAGCCTAAGCGGCTATTGCAAAGCCATATGGTGTATGGTGCTCTCCTTCCTCTGCTGTGCCATATCAGGAGGATATGCAGGGAAATTTTTCTGTGGTTCTCAGCTCTGCAGTAGGTTAAACCACGGTAATGCTTTTGCAAAAAACATGAAAGAACATGACAGGCTTTTTCTTGAAGACCGTTAGATGCTGAATATCTATTAAGTATGTATCCTTACTACAAGTTATTTGCTCCAATAAAAAAGAATCTGATTGAAATCCTTTGGTCAAAATTACTGGAACCTGCCTTTTTTGTAAGCTTAATTAGGAACTTACTTTCCAATTCCTCCTTCTTCCATCAGAAGGGCTCGTCTGTTCTTCTCTACTGTGAGATTGAGCAGAACTCCACAGGCAGAGAAACAGGCATCTTGGTTCTTGGCATCAAGTAAAGCAATGATGAACTTGTATACTGGGTTGTAAAGGAAACAAAGTTACTGGGAAGACGGACTTACACAAGTGTTGTAGAAGTGTTATAACACTTACACAACATGTTACAACATATTACTACTTGTTAAATACATATACTTAGAAACCAGGCAAGTGCAGGATAACCTACCCAAAGATTTAACCTTGCAGCATATTACTGTGACATTTGTAGAACAGGGCTTAAGCCAGAGTAACAGCCACTATATTACATCATGCTGAACACCAGCTTTCTTCACAGCAACACATACAGAATTCCAGTTATAAAAATACACTGAAGTAATGTGAAAATCCAACCAGACGAGGCTAAGTTCACCAAACTGAATTACAGCTTATTTCTGAAAGTTATCAGCCTCTTTCCAATCTCATAGGCAGCAGAAGCTGCTGGCATTCAGCATTTGGCATCCAGAGAGGGATGTTCTTACCCCGCCAACGGCAGGGTTGCCCCAGCCCACACCCCGTCCAGCTGGGACTGCTGCAGCCCCGGGCTCCCAGGGGAGACGAGCGAGGAGCAGGCGCTGGATGTGCAGCATCTTGCAGTGTTTGCTGACGCTGAAGCCAGCAGGCAGAGGAAGGCAGCCTCAGCAATGGAGGCAGTGTTGCCTAATTGAGAGGCAGCCTCTTGGCTCTTTCTGAGCTTGGCACACTGACACCAGCCTGTCCCAGGTGGAAAATTCAGTCCTTTGACTGAGAAAGCTCATCAGCAACCAGTTATTCACTTTGTGGATACATTCTCCTCAAAAAGCAGTGATATGTCCACCCTTGAAAGAAGGGGCTGCACATTGTGGCATATCGCCTCCCTTTCAGCTCTGGCAGGTAGGTACAAAAAAAGGTACAGTGAACTGATGTTTAATTAAACTTATGACACGCCTTCTGTGGATAGGAAGGAGTTGCTGTTTTTCCCAAAGCTCTTTAGACACCCAAAGCAAAAAGACTTGAGAAGACTTGCATCCTGCTTCACCCAGAGGCAAATAGGAGGCCTTTTGTTGAGGCAGTCAAACATCTTAAATGCATGTTACAAAGTGCTGACAAGCTGTCAAACATGGGAATCAAAAACCTGTGATTATGAACCTAAATGAGAATTCAGTTGGCTTTATCGTTTTCTATCGTATCTCTACTAACCTGTAAGATTTGAAAAACTAAAGGAGTGAAAGGAAATTTTAAAATTATAAACTTAAGGAATGCCAGAGTTTTTGTAGTATTTACCTTTGTGAAGGCATAACCATGGCATATTTTTCCTACTCCAATATTTCCATTTTAATGAAACCAAAATAAAATGGTGTTTATAATAACTACTATTGGATTCTAACATTTCCCTAATTTGCAAAACATCAGAGAAGACTGCTTTTACCCTTTAACTGAGACAGCTTATTAACAATCTTCCCTTTTTAGAACTATGGACATTCCAAAACAAGACTCCTACAAACGCAAAAGTAACTCACTCTTTTTCTGTATGATGAAGTCACAGATCTCATGATCCTGGGAGAGATTGCCAAAGACTCTGACAGCCTCCACAACTCCATCCATACTGTTGCTCATTAGCAGCTTTAAAAGCACTATTGGTTTGCAGAGAAACAAAATAAAAACAATTACTTGTATATCACAAGCATGTGCTTGGCTTTTTACCAACAAATATCAGGATGCAAGCAGCAACAGCAATAAATGTAATAAATTGGAACAGTTATCTAACTGTCTGGTTGCAGTGAAGGCGGTGAGCAGATGGTGGAACAAGAGATAAATTGTGTAGGGCTCTGAAGATGAGACAAGAAGCTTCAATATGGGGCTAAATGCAAAGGAACAAATGAGGAGTTACGAAGATAGCCTAAGTGCAGTTGCAATCATGGGAGCCAGTTTTGCTATACAGTTTTGAGTGGGCTCATGTTAAAATCCAGGAAGACAAAGAAGAAAAAAAGTGTTGCACTATATAAGAGAATTGATTTAGATCCCGAACAGATGGTCTTATGGTGGGATGTCTCCTAAAACTCAAATGATTTTCTGACATTAGCTCTATTTTCTCTCAGTGCTGCTGTAACAAGCAAACACATTTACTCTGAACAGCTACCCAATATTGCCCCGGTCTGAAGCACTGACTTGCTTGCTGCTTTCCTGCTTAGCAGTTTCACATATGATTAACTTGTAACTTCAGCAGACAGAATGGGACCTTCACCATTTCCTAGGCAGAGTTACCATCACGTAGGTTTTCAGTGCATGGCAAAGGAGCGATATTACAGAAGTTACATTTCGCAGTCTTCTGCGAGTATGAAGTGAGCCACTGAAATCAGTCCATCATACAAAGAACTCAAATCAGTGAACCCTGAACCCCTGTACCACAGAAAAGTGAGAGGAAACAAAATAGAGAAAAGAGGTTGGCTTTGCTTCCATTATTTCCATCTTTGAATGTTGCAATACTGAACATGCCTTGTACCTGTCCTAAAGACACATCTGAAATGATTATTTTTTGTCTTTGGGATCCACCACTAGTATCAAAGAGCAAGTATTCTCAACATGTCTCCTGCAGGAGGACGCCTGCTGTCTTCAGTCTCTCTCTCTGGTTTTCTCTCTCCTCAGTTCAGGCAGAGGAAAGGTGATGGGACTGGTTGCTAACAACTGATGCTAACAACAAAAACAGGAGAGGGAGAGCGAAGGGGACAGGCAGAGAAGTCATTTGTTTCCACATTTCTCCAACAAGCAGTAAGGGACGGGTGGCTTATGGGTGATGAAATGAGTCGTGACAGAACAGGAGAACGGTTACCTAGGGAGAATATGATGTTTACCAGCCAGGGCACTAGGTTGACAGCCAGAATCTTTTCCTACTCCTCATTCTACCTGTTGTGTGAACTTCAGGCTCCATCTCTCCCCCAAGTCTTGTCTATGTAGAAAGGTATGCAAGATGCAGACTCTCTACCTTTTGTATAACATTAACACAAAGAGTCCCAGAACTCAGATGCAGTTCCTACACATCACTAAAACACAACTACTGTCCATACTGTCAGAGGAGAAGGAATCACACAACTCTTACACTGTCAATAGATTTATAAACCAAAACCAGACGGGAATCAGATCTTGCAGGTCTAGAAGGTACTACAAAGCAAAAACACTTTCTTACCATACTCTAATTAGAAGTAAAAAGCAACATTATTTTGTCTTAGGCATATGGATTTTGAACAAGTCTAGCAGAAATTACTAAACAGAAAACAATATGGCAAATTCCTTTGCAGAGGAAAAGAAGGGGATTTGTCTACAACTTGACTATGTTCACACAAGTCATAGAATTATGTTCCAAAAGAACAAGAAATCATTAGGGGAAGAATTTAGCCCTATGAACTTTATATTCCTGCAATATGATACCACAAAAGACTATCAGTGTCTTTACTTTCTGTAGTGTCAAAATATAGCGTGAATAACTTGCACTTTCAAAAAGCTATACCAAAAGTACTAGCTTAGAAGTCCTTACTTTCAGCAATGTGGAACTTCTTCTCTTGAACAGCAGAACTCTTCACTTTGTAGTAGGATAAGTTGTTGATTGTAGTTGCAGCATTGATGACCAACTCCTCACAGTCATCAGCTGACTTGTATTCTGATAGTAAAAAAAACCCAAACCATATGCATATGTAGATAGACACACACACAGATGCGTAACTTAGCAGTGCATTATAACTCAGAAGCAAACTGAATCATAGTTTACATGGCGACTACCACAAATATTCTGTTTTTCAGTAACATAGCAGAAGCTAACAGGAACAGCCGGTCCAAAAATGGCAACACAAAGTCACTCTTCTTGACTCTTCATCTACAGAAATCACTGTGACTAAGGCAACATGGCTTAAAATCCACTTAGTTAAGACGTTTTACAGATCCTGTTTGCTGTTTTAAGATGGAACTGAGGAGAATCCACATGCAGAAATAGGCCTGTGTGACAGACACAGAGAAACACCAAGGACTGTTCTACTGAAATGTCAGGTACACTGAAAAATTGAAAAAACCAAAAAACCCCTTTAACAAAATTTGAAGGAGACTCTCTCTTAGAGTTAACACTGTTAACAAGTGCAAAATTCCACCAGCAACTCTGAAAGTTGTGTACACCGGTTTAGAGCACAGGAAATAAGAGAGCCGAGCTCATATGGAGAGAGACCACTTTGTAGTAAACTGACTGATATGGTGCTCAGGAAGAAGGGAGGGTGGCAGAGAAATTTGAAGCTTGAGAGCACTTACGCAGCAAGTAAGACAATTCCAACCAGGGAAGCTCCTGCAGGGCTTAGGACACAACGGATGAAGTTGTAAATTTGCTTTCTCTAATCCCCATGGCTGGTGGGTAAGACTGGTAAACTAGCATACATAATCAGGTTTATTGTCTTTACATGGTATTTAATGTTCTCATCACTCACTAAAATACACCAAGTTCTCTAAGATGTATCTTGTCACTGCTAAACTCTGTTAGACTCTGTTCCTCTGCAGGAACAGTCTGCCAGTCTTAGCCTGTAATTAGATTTACAAGATCAGTAAGTGGTAAAGGAACTGCAGTCCTAAGCCTCCATTCAGAGTGAAAAGGACTTCCTCCTGAAAGGGATAAAAGTTAAAAATCTGAAAAAGATTAAAAAATAAGAGGAAATTTTTCCAAGGAGTTTGAAAGTGTGCAGGGAACAGAAAGAATACTTAATCCAGAACAGTCACAAAACCTGCAAACCTTAAAAAAAAAAAGCCCACCACCAAGCACATATATGTAGCACCTGATAAGAACAGACTTCCCTTATATATGAACTCTACGTGAGATGTATTTAAAGCAAAATTTGTTTCCTTATCCTTAATCATATCTGCAAATCTTATCACTGAATGGAACACTCGTACAACTCTTCCCCTAGCCATTAAAATGTCAGTACCAAAGCAGCAACGCTCCCACTGCTTCAAGCAGGCTATCTACATCAGCAGTTTATGAATATCACCAGATTGACTTTGTTACTTTAGCAACAGAACCGATCTAGTTAAGTATGGCTCAACCCAGATAAGGAGGTCAAGTATAAAAATTCCTAACTCTCCTTACAGACGGAACAAAGATAACACACACAACATCGGTTTTATTACCTAGTACTGCAACAAGTGATTCTACAACACGATGGGCAGCTGCCAGAGCTGCTCCTACGCTGGGATGAATGGAGAGGTTGGCCAGCACTCTGATCAGTTTTATCAGCACGTCTTCTGCTTCTGAAGGATGCTTTGGGTGGTTGTCGTCTTCCCCTTCTCTTTCACGGTAACATTTTTGTGCATTCAAATCAAGCTCATGGTAGGTTTGGAATAATGATATCAAGGTATTAACACTTCCTTTTTCTTTAAAAAATTGCTCACGGGCCTGGTTATTCTTTTCTGTTAAATTACCAAGAATGAAGACGATACGGATAACCAAATCCTGCAATAAAATAAATAAACCATATTACATGGAAAACATGAGAAGATATTAGCTGCTTAAAAAGAAGATAATACTTAATTTGCTTCACAGTTCAGTTATAGTAGGTCCAAAACAACTGAGGGAATGCCAAATACAGCAATAAGAAATAATTTTTATGCTGCTATTTTTCATAACCCTGTTTACAGATGAAATAAAAAACATCTGACAGAACTAGTATAGCATTGGGATAATTACTAATGGGATATACTTAGTATAGGTCATCTATTTTTACCAAGCTCACAGTAATCCAAAAACATCTTAAAACAGCACTTTATATAACCAGAATAATCATATGGGCCAGAGCTTACTAATCTTTCAAGCAAGCAAGCATCAGTTGTGATGGCCAAAGCCCACCTCCTTCCCTTCTTCTCTAGGACTGGTACCCATTGCAGAGGTTAAGCCACTTCCCCTTGGGTTGTTACTGTTCAATCCACGTTAGCTCTTACTCATTTCCTTGTTGAGTCCAATTGCTTACAGACAACTATAGATTTTTACCAGAAATATAATCTAAACTGACTGGTCTGTTATTCCTTAATTCCTTCTCTTTCTCCCTTTAAAGACAGGTGCCCTACAGCCTTGCCATCCTACATAACTTTTCAAGAATCCCAGAGACATTACGCCTTTTGGTGCGTCTGTAAACACCAAAGGGGAAATTTCATCAGGCCTAGCTGGTTTGAAGACACTTAAATATGCTCCAGCTCATTTTTTAGTGATAGAAAAACTCAGGCTGAAGTAGAGATTAACCATTTGGTCATGCTTAAACCTTTCACAAAAAGCAGCAAAAAAGGTATTCAACACTTCACTGTTCGGAGTGGCATCTGTCAATAACTGTCATCATCTTCTGAACACTGCCACAATTATTTCCTTAGTTTATTCTCATTACGAATGTACTATAGAAATTTTTCTTGTATCTTTTCATGTTCCTTTCTAGCTGCATTTCATTTTGTGCTTTGTTTTTTTTTCTGATTTTGATTTCACATGTTCTTACTAACCTTTTATTCTTATAGTTGCTAAATGAGACACATTTTCTAGTTTTATATGGTATCTTGAGATCCAATGATTTAACCAAGTTGCTCTCTTAAAGCACTTTCTATCCCTGCCCTTCAGTGGGATATAGGGTAACATCTCTTGTTGCTTCATTTTGGAAATACTGAGAAATAGCCTTTCCCTAGAGTAAATACCCTAAGTTAACCAGGCACAGTCCAACTTGTTGAAGTATACATCCTAATACGGAGGGAGAAAGGTTTGTAAGCACTGAATCCTTCTTTCATACATGCTCTCATCAATAAGTTTCAGGTTCTAAGCCTCTATCACAAGCCATTGCCAATAACTCTTAGGGCCAAGAAGTTGAATGCTGTCCCCCAATACAAGAAGCAGGCAGTCTCCTGAGTGAGGAATAGGTTCTCACATCCATGTATTTAATACGATCACTCTCTAGAACCCACTTCCCCCTTTTTTTTAACTAGGCATCGTATTTTTGCAAGCATCTAAATGTCACAGACAAATTTTTGTGACCATTCTTCCTGACTAACCACTAAGAGCTTCCACCTTTGCTGGCACAACCCCCAGTTCACAAAGGCTGTAAGAATTTGAAACAAACAACAGATGAATCAGAAGAGAGAACTGAAAAAAAAGCAGGCAGTCTAGTTCGACTCATTTATATTGACTTTCTAATTTTGGTCAAAACAGTATCAGCCCAGCAACAGCTCTGCCCAATCAGAAAAGAGACAAACAGGTACCGCGCAGCAATCAACTGATATTTTGAGAAGTGTGATCTCAACTGTGCTTTCCACCTACAGGCTAGCAAAACAAACTTATAAAATACTTCTTCTTAGCTAAGCACATCCGGTTTTAATAACATATTACCAAGGTTTCATTATCTTCCAGTGAAAATTTAACTAGCAGAGTCAAAGAGAAAAGCTGGTACAACTTCCTTAGTAGCATAATACTTTAGAGTTCATATTCTTTTTGGTTATATTTTTTAAAAAATATTCATGGGTAAGCACTGAGAGGGTAAGAAACACCAGCTTAGAACTGGTGTGTAAAGAATACATATAAAGACGAATGTTATTTTGAAACTGCTTGCAAGACTAAACCTGAACAAGGCCCATGGGCCTAAAAAAATCAGCATAATAAATGACATTATTATGCATCTCCAAATGTTTGGAGCATATGGAACTTCAGGCATTCTTGCACAGTTACAGAAAAACTACTTAGCAGTCATTTATCAGATTAATTTATATATTATGGAGGTTTTAACACTAAAGACAAATTGGATTAAATATAGGAATTACACTCAGTTATTTCATCTTTTTATAATGAGGCATTCATGTGAGACATGCTGTCCACAGAATGTACCCAAATCTGACTGGACCACACAGTTTCACTTACACAAACAAATTTGAAGAAACATATCAAGAAAAGCTCAAGGAGAACTGGGGTTTTTTTCTTTGCTTCCAATCTAAGAAGAAACTGATAATTTTATTTGTTTTAACACGGTAAGGGCACCACAAACTCATCAGCATTTAACTCTTATTTTTCTGACAACCAGAACCACATACATTTGATTACAGACAGGAAAGATTTCTTTGCTTATCTCCTCCTAAAAATCTATGCTTTGCACTGCCCTAGTAGCAAAGGTACCCAGTGTACTTGCTGAGTCATGGAACCTGACAGCAGTTTATCTTGGCGATTAAAAGGTACCTGCCTTTCAGCATAAAGCATGATGAAGAGAGGTACAAATAGTACAGCTTTACCTATCAGTGAGAAAGGAAAGCCAATTAGGTCAGTAATTTCTAACCAGAACAAGATAAAGACAGGAGGGGAGTCCCTTCTAGAGTCTGTACACATTGGCCAAGATACCTGTTTGGTATCTGGACCCTCAGCAGGGGAGGGGTAGTATGGGAAAAAATAATCAGATGCCATCGGCTGTGTTCCTATTAAATCTCCAGCCGTCAGTGAAATTTGCTTTCCGTGTTACTCAAATTCCAATGGAGGCAGTCAGAACTCTACCACTGCCCAGCAGTATGAACTGCTTCTAGGACTCTAGAATCTAATTTACATTTCATTTCCAAATTCTTATTTCTGCTTTATTACGTACCTTGGAAAGAAAATTTAAGACTTTTATTTGCAGGGCCTGATAGTCTACTTATAAACAAAATAAACAGTAGTTTATGCCACCCTGGAGCTAGTCTCTACCAAACACAGTAAAGATTCATCTCAAAGTGACATTCTGGCTGTGAAAATTCCTGGTCAAACCCAGAAATAACAACTGACCCAAACCAAGACTTGATTTAAAAAGAAGGATAGCAGGGAGTACTTTTTCAGTAAAGAGGGAACCTCTTTCTCTGCAAATATGAATACATTTGAGAAGGAGAGGCCATTAGAAGAATATAGTTATATTTCTGTGTCCCACAGCCACAGGACCCTACCCAATAATTTCTACACCCAAAAATCTGATCTGTTTAGGTAAACTTTTCAGAAAAGAGTTAATTTGCATTTAGTGACTTTTAGCAATGAAGAACTCACGTCCATCCTTAGGTTTGTTTGTGGATGTCTGGATGAAAAGCAATGTACACACTCTAACAAAAAACATTTCAGAAATCATGAACTAAAAAAAAGAAGTTGAAAACCATATTGCCAATGGTATTGCTCCAATGATTACTGAACTCTCTGGTCAAAATCTGTACTCATATTACTAGTTTAAATTTAGGCTTCAGCCACTATTTCTTATTATCTCTTTTTTCCTAGATTAAATGATGGTCTACTAAAAGAAATGTTTTTCTTGCGCAGATTCTATTAATAGGCAACTTGCTAATGGGCTGACCTTTGTCATTGATAAATTTGCTTAATCTTGGGTTGTTTTTATTAACTCTAATCAATCTTCTAAGCTCTTTTCAGAGCTGTTCCCAAGGTTTCAGCACCTTTTGTAGAAATGAATACCAAAACATAAGGCAAAATATTTTGGTAACAGTGCCTGTCACATCAAGCAGTAATATCTTCTTCTTATTATTTGATATTCTAACGTTTACCTGCCTGGTAATTACGTTCACTCTCTTGTACCTTTTGATACACTGGAACGGCAGGCTTCAATACGATATATGCCAATGAAGGCTGGTTGACTACAAACTTTGAGCTCTACATTCTTGACAATTTTATGTTCAGAGTCCATATCACATATTTTGCACTTTCCTTACCACTTGTGCATTTTCGTTCATACAAAAAAACCCAAACAACAACAAATCCCAAATCACATCCAAAGTATTGGGAAGATGCAAACATACTATCAGCTCAGCAGCACACTGCCTGAAATCATACTGTAGGAAAAGGGTGACCTTCTGTGGTTATTAAGATTTAGCAGCAGGGAAGTTTCTTCATAGTCATCAGAATATTTACCCTAAAATGGATACTTTCTTCTTGACAAAAATGTTAATTCAGAGAGAATGAATGATCAGTTATGAATATGCACGTGCACACACAAAACACAAGAGGAAAGTGTTATATTTTGGTTCTTTTATGACCAATTACTATACTCCTTTCATAGCTTTTTTTAATTGCCAAGGCACTATTATAACATTGGGCTAAAGGGAGGAAGAATACAACTGAAAATACGTATTTGTAAACATAGGAGAAAAGAACCACATGGTCTATGTAAGTTCATAGGGCTACATCGACAAGCATTTAAGTAGAAGTGGTGGCATAAACAGCACCCACTTACCTATGCAGTCACAGTTTGGTTCCCTCCCATATTGTTACCTCAGTATTTGTGAACAGGGAACTATTTGCACGGCTGTTCAACAAACTAAACTGAAAAGCAATGCAGGTGATAACAAACAAAGGGACTGGGGTTCTTTTTTCCAGTTTTAAGGTTATGGGAAGCTGGGTCAGCTCTGTGAAATGGCGTATCATGCTGTCACCCAAACAGCTGTCCTCAGCCCAAAGGAGGGATGGCACATAGGGAA